ATTTCACAGTACCACGCAGAAGAAGCATGTTCCTACAGTTTTTGCAGTGTTACTAGACCAAAGTAATAGCACTGTGATCTTAACTAGCATAAGACTTTTTAAAAGATGCTTTATGATTCTGGGAAATTTTGTTTCAGAAAGTGCATATTTGCCATTTTGTTAATGTTGGTTGGTGCTCATGATGACTCATTGGAAGAAAATCTGTTTCTGTGAGACTTGTGCAGGAAAGTTCCTAAAGTGTTGCTGCATTAATGGTTGTTGAAATATCTAGTAAAGCATTGCAGTTGTTCAAATATCTGTCGCAATTTCACATCAAGAGCAAACATTTTAAATACATAAAATGCAAAGCAGTAAAGGTGTTACTTCTCTTAGAACTGGCTTTGAAACAAAGAAAGCAGAACATCTGATTTAAAGAAATCCCATATATCATATATATCATATATAGTGCTTTCTATTTCTAATAACTTTATAGTTAGCAATTCGGTGGAATAAATATTTTCTACATAAGGTCAGTTGGAGAGAGAAAGTGCATGTGCCAATATAATAATGTATGCATAAGTGTAGGAAAAGAAAGATATTATATGAATATTTAGGAAACAGTGTGATGGAACCTTTAATTGGAATGGATTTATGTGTAGGATTTTCTGTTAAAATTGTGAAATATTATTTTGTTGTCTATCTGCTACTCATGTACTGTCTCTCTCTCTCTTATCATAGAATATTTAGTGCTATGTATTATAAGTTTGCTCCAGTGGACCCTTCCCCAACCAGTTGCCCTTCAAATCTGGTGGATTACAGCTCTCATAATTCCCCATCACAGATTTGTAGATATATTATGAGAAATTATGGAAGTATTTAGCTCAGAACCCTTACACAGTTCTGTTTTTTTTAATCAAAAATATAATTGCCTCATTGTATTTATTAGCTGGTAGATATATAATTTTATCTTAGTCTGAAATATATTTTAGCTATTTTTTAAGGTAGTAGATTTTTCACAAAACAGCTATTTCATTCAATATAATGCATCACAGTTATTCAAGATAAGATAATGCTATTGAGTACTTGTTGTAATTTTTGAAAAGTAGGTTTTGCTTAAAGGGTAATTAAGTTGATTCAGTCTGTGATTATAGTATTTTTTTCTTTTTCATTACTATGCAAATAGGTTGCTCACTTTCAGTATTTTCGTACTTATGAGAGTGAAAAATTTAAAATTTCAGATTCTTTGATCTCTGCTACAGGGATATTTAGTTAATTCAATGAATTGCCAGCATTTCAAGACCATGATAGCTATTAAATACCGTAAGCAAAATTACCATTGACTACTGCATTACACTTAGTACCTCCTCTACATTTTACATACCTTTTAAAACTAGTGCAAACACATTATCATGATCTACATTTTTTTTCTTTCAACAGGTAGAGAGGATTGTTGATAAAAGGAAAAACAAGAAAGGGAAAACGGAATATTTAGTGCGATGGAAAGGCTACGAGAGTGAAGATGACACATGGGAGCCAGAACAACACCTTGTGAATTGTGTGGAATATATACATGAATTTAATAGGCATCACAACGAAAAGCAAAAAGAAAGTACGTTGACAAGGACAAATAGGACATCTCCAAATAATGCAAGAAAACAAATTTCTAGATCGACTAATAGTTCTTTTTCAAAGACCTCCAAGACCTTAGTTATTGGAAAGGACCATGAAGCAAAAAACCAGTTGTTTACTCCCCAGAAGTTTAGGAAAAACAACACTCCTCTTTCTGGTAGAAAAAATATGGACCTTTCAAAGTCAGGTATTAAAATTCTTGTGCCCAAAAGTCCTATTAAGAGTCGGACAGCAGTGGATGGCTTTCAGAACGAAAGTTCTGATAAATTGGACCGCATTGAGCAGGATCAGGAAGATTCTGTGGCGCCTGAAGTGGCAGCAGAGAAACCTGTTGGAGCTTTATTAGGACCTGGGGAAGAGCGTGCTCGGATGGGGAGCAGGCCAAGAATGCACTCATTAGTGCCACAGTTGCCTGTGCCAGTAACAGCTACCATTGCATCTGCACTAACCTTAAATGGGAAAGGTAAGTGTGTGCATGTTTAGTAATTTTCTGTAGTGAATTACTTCAATAATTCAGGACAAAGTTGTTTAGTAAAAATAATATATTTTGATGATACATGCAATATCTCTAGTTGTATGTTTGACAAAGGTGTATTACCACATCATTAGTCACTTTCCTCTCTAAGATCTGCTGCAGTTGCTCTTTTCAAAATGAAGTCATATCTGTGCCTTGGCTTGAGTTTTACTATTTGCTCATTAGATTATTGCTTTGTTTTGCTTACATTTTCTGAAATTGGGACAAAAGAAATTCTGCTTTATAGATGTTGGGATCTAATATAATTCTGTGGCGGGATCTGCTTCTGTTAGCAGAAGTAAGAAAGGCCCAGTCCCACCTCTTGGAATCCATAGAAGTTACACCAGAAAAATGGAAAACACCTCAAAGCAGGTTTTCAATAAGGGCTGAGGGGAAGATTACAGTTCTCTCAAATTATGTAATAGATATTCACTAGTGTGATGTTAACTGTAGGGCAGAATTCGCAAATATTTTTCCAAGGATTTCTAGTCAATCCCCACTGTTCATTTTCAGACTTACACATCTGTTGCCATATATTATTCTTCAGAAAATTTGAAAACTCTTCTGTTGTACTTATCTTCTGTTGTTATACTGACATTGTGATAGCTATATAATTTTTTTCTATTAAATCTGTGGGCTTTATTTTAGTTCTCATTTATCTTGGTCTGTTTTAAAATCTTGGTCTGTTTTAAAAACTAAGGAGTAGTTTCATGCATTTGTATAGGATCGCTATACGTTTCTAATTCGCATGGCCTGTTTTTGTTTTCAAGCTCCGCTTCTGAAAACAGTGCCTTTCTGAATGAGATTTTTGTCCCACACCTGAAAAAAAAAAAATGTCCAATTGGCGGCAATGGGCAGGCGATCCTATACAAATGGTTCCCTTCCCCATAGTTTTAGGGCTGCTGCTGTTTCCACTACAATTGGGAAACCTACCTTGCCCCTCTGCTGCTGAGGGCTGGCAGCTTGCCAGTTGCCAGGGCTTGCCCTCCACCGCTCAGCAACCATGCAGGCCCAGAAAGGCCCTAACGGGCCCACATCCTTTGAGCCTACGTGTGTGGGCCTGCAGCTGAGTGCCAAGTAAGGAGCACTGCTTACCGGTTGCGTGGCAGGCCTGTGCGCGTAGGCTGGCCAGGGCCTTTCTGGGCCTGCATGGTTGCCAAGTGGTAGAGGGCAAGGTGCCAGCCCCGCACCAAGGATTTCTGATGAAGTGACCTCAGCACAATCCCTCTTCTCTCTATAACTGTGATGCCGAAAAGCAGGCTTGAAGCCAGTACCCGCTCCCACCTGCCTTTCGTATCGAGTTTATTTTCATTCCAGAAGGGGGGCTTTTGCATTGTGCCATCCAAATGGATGGAACGAAACAGAAACACACATTAAATGGATGATACAGATACTGGGCCCATGACTGCTAACGAGCACTGCTCATTGAACCTCCAATGTACAAGAGAGATTAGCCATGTGACAGTTCAGGGTAGTCTTGCATTGCTCATCTATGATGGTTACAGCACTATGTCCCTAATGAATTGATAAGCTGAAGCTAAAGCTGCAATCCTGAATACACTTAATAAGAGTAAGTTCCATTACATACAATGGAGTTTATATGTGGATAAGATGCATACGATGGTGCTGTGTTTTTTTAAATTAGTGAAGCAATTTATATAAAATAAAGCTTGCCGATTCACCCAAACACCCTCCAAGACCGCCTAACACAACCTTATCCTGTGTTTAAAAATGTTGGGCTCACCCGCACTTTGTGGCATTGTAAATAGTTGGGCTGGTTTTGATTCCAAACATGCTGTTTTACTAAGAGGCATAAAGGGGATAGGATAGTAGGATTCAGCACCACTAGACAATGCAGACTCTTTCCAGCTGCTGGGCTTGCTCACTGTTGTGCGGCGCGGCTGAGCCAGCTTGGTGGCTGACTCTGCAGACTTCCCCAGGTCAGCTCCAGGGTATGTACTCAGGGTGGATGGGCTCTCAGACTATAATTTAAATTCTAGTTTCACAGTATTGGATGTAATGAAAATGTGCTGCATATTGTAAGTAAATTATACTTAAAAGCCAGCCGACCCTGCATACATGTTAGAAAAAACTTTCTATTATAACTCAAGTTTCAAATACTTAGGACTACTATAAAGGAGGAGATCTGTAGGAGGATGTCCTTCTTTAGATGCAGAAATAATTTCTTAATTTTTAAATATTTACTGATTTAGTAATTTCCATGAATTTAATACTTTGCATAGAACTTCACCATACTTAAGTGATCAAAGCATTTTACAGATATTGTGTAAATTAGGTGAGTATTAATCCTAAATCCCTGAGGCTGAGAGAGATTTGTTTCAACTTCCATATCATGGAGTACAATAGTTATTGTCCCTTTAATTCTTCACTTTTTCTGGTTCTCACCTCTTATTCTTAGCCTCTGCATTTTTCAGCTTTTCTGTATTGTAGTATGTTGAATCCTGCTTTTATATATACAAATACATTTTATGGACGTCCATTGAAATTAGTGGAAGTTATGATGTGATACATCGTTACATATTAACATCTTCAAGTGTTCCATGATATCTATTTTGAAGACTTGCTCTCTAGCTTTTTCAAAATAGCAAATTATTATTATTATTATTATTATTTTATTATTATTATTATTATTATTATTATTATTATTATTATTATTATTTAAAAAACCGAAATTTGCCATCTATTGTTTAATTTGATGTAGGGCTAAATACTTTATGTACCTAATTTTAAAAAATACTTTAAAAATGCTTTTATATATCTTTGTGCGTACACACGCACGCACTTTTGTAATCCCTTACAAAATCATGGATAATATTTTAACACGTAAGTCTTCTGATTCAGATTTTCCTTGTTTAATGAAGTTTCCCTTCAGCATAATGTTGAGAGAAAGACAAAACTAGAAATCTGTAGCTTGCGATGACTCCAAACAATCTTATTTTGGAGTTTCTTTTTTATGCTCCAGGGACCACTCTTGCAGGCAAAAATAGCAAAGAGCTTTGTACAAATGCTTCCTGACATCATAGGTCTAATGCCCAAAGAAATATTGCTTGAAGGACACTAGGAAGTCAACCTTTCAGGATGTTTAGCAGTTTATAGCCTCTGCTTTCAGCTATTCATTCTGTTTTTAAGGGGAGGCCTTGCAATGTTTAATTCACATGATTTTTCACTTAGTATTATTTTTCATTGTCATAAATGGAAGTAAATCAGTACAGCTGCTTTCTGCCTGGTACCTAGTACCAGCATCCTCTACGCAGTTTACTGCATATACAAGTATGGGAAAGTGGGACTGAGAACTGGATTCCTTACTTGTACTTTCTGTTATCTGTTGTTTGAAGTGAGAGATTCCTCTTTCTGTTATGCATTACTCTCTGATTCAGCTATACATCACAGTCCCATGGTTTGGCTTTCTGGTAAACTCAACTTTTAGTTCCCAATCACAATCACAATTTTTGGTTGTAGCTAGTGCTGCTACACACATCTGTTACTAAACTGGGGATGACCCCCATTATTAAGAGACAAATACAGAAAAAGTAGTATATAGTAGCAGATGGTATGAATTAAATAATGATAACTTAATTATTGGTCAAAAATTTAAATTATAAATGACACTTTTTTTGATGAATAGTATTTTAAGTCCTTAATTGTTAAAGCAGCTCCTTCTCTTGGACCCTGTAACTGGTTTTGTGGATGCATTTTCCTAAGATATATTTGCATATGCAGCAGTTTTGAGTTAATGATTTGATAGCAGAACAATAATAGACTAATTATGTTTTGTCCTTCTGCTACTGAGTGTTATTGTCAGTTTGTGAAATAGGGATATTATCTCTTTAGAGGGCATAAGTGATTTAAATATTACATATTAATATACGTAATGTATGTCTCTCTACCTATTGGATTCACAGCCTGCTTCTCCTCAATCATGTTGGCTCTTGTGTAATTTAATAAACTGAAGCAAAAATTCGACTTTGCTTAGAAACTTTCTGTTTTAACATTTTCTTACTTATCACAATGTGTTATGCTGCATTAGTCTGTGGTGGCTCTGGTTTTCTTTTGAAAAGTGAAGAACACAATTCACTGACATCAGGAAAGTATTTCAGCACCCTTAATGTGAACATATCACAGAAGTGATCATCAGGAGAAGCTTGTACGGAACATTTTTTAAAACACTTGCTTTCTAAAAATATGAGGCAAATAAATAATGTGTCATAAAGGAGGATTGCACAAACACTAGAATGTATTCTCCCAATAGAAAAACTGGGAGCTGTGCCCTCCCCTTAGCATAAGGAAGAGGATAAATGCCTAAAGCAGAGATATTCTGTATCTGTTTGAATGAACTAAAATGGGTAAAAAGAAGGCTTAAAATAACAATGTAGGTGAGAAAGCATTCAATCACACGCCTTAATGTAATGTTAACTAGAATACAAGAAGTTATAAAATTCATCTTATTAGATAAGAAACCCAATTATTGTTTAAAACTTACTTTTTTAAAATCAGCAATTTGATTTATGGGAAATTGACCAATAAAGCTAGACTAAATAGCAATACTTTTCCCATTTAATCTAAAAACGATAATTATGTGACAAAATTTATGGATGTTTTCCAGTAGTACTTCTCAGAAAATCTGTGTAGAGAAGATATAATTGTTTACGGTATAGATTGGACAAATATTCCGAATCTCCCTGGAACAGAAGGCCATTCTGAATACTCTTTAAAGAGTCCAAAATAGCATACAAATATTAGTAACTGTTTCAGAGAGCATTGTCTCTATAGGGAGACATGTATCGACACACATACACCCCAGTTTGTATGCATGTTCTTATCATATTCAAGATCCTGTACATCAAGAGAGTAGCTTTAACTTAATGTTTAGTGAAATCCTAGGTACATAAACAAGGGCTGTAGGAAGTGGCTACTGAATGTATCTCTGT